TTCTTTATGTCGGTATCTCAGAAACATTAGGAAGTTCACCCTGGAAATTTCCCCTGGGCTACATCTCATTCCTGTGTTAGATCCTCTAGTTTGATATGACAGGGAGATAAGCGATATTGATGTGCTCACCAATTTATAGTAATGGCCTTGTGTGGTTGGTGGTCTGGGAGCTTTACCTCTGGGTTTATTAGGTCATGGCTGTGCATCTGCTGGCCTGGGCTTTTGTATTTGAAAGGAGACCATTATTAGTTTGTCTCTCATTGGGGAAATATGCAAATAAACAGTTATTTAGATTTTTGAAAGCAGACAGAATAATACAGACATATGGGCTGTCTCTGATGGTACCAGATCTGACGAAAATATTTAGTGCAGTTGCTAATGGCTTAATAGATGATCTTTGCAAGTTGTAGGGCCAGTATTTCTGGAGTCTCACCCTTCACACACCTGGGTAGAGCATCTGTGGCAAATGGGCACGATTGGCATTTTTGACTGTATCCAGTTCAACACATATGCCATGATATGAATTTTGGCCACATTAGCTAGAGTATACTTGAGCACCTGTCTTTCCCCTTGACTCCTGGAACATGCAGGCTGGCGGCTTTCTTTTGTAACCTACTGAACATTCTCTGAGGGTTTAGTTTGTCACCACATTAAGAGAATACACTTTGGAAGAATGAGAGAATAATGACAGTTATTTATAATGCCTAATCATTTCATCTAAAGTTGCCATGCACCTTGATAAAAGTTTTCCTCTGAAGTACTTTGCAGCAAATCTCTGTGTCAAAAGGCAACTCAGTGAAGGGGTGTGTGTGTGTGTGTATGCACCTGTGTGTGCGTGCCTGCCCTTGCACTTGGGGGGTGAGGGTGGGGAGTAGAGAAGAGAGCGAGAGAAAAGGGAGATAAGGAGAGGAGGAAATAGAGAATTAATCTTTCTTAGTACTCTGAAAGAGGGGTGTTCTGGCTTCTTGGTTATCATGAGACAAGAGGCTCATTTCTTACCGCTGATGAATTTCAATTGTAATTACAGAGCATCGGTAAGCCACATTCAGTCCCAAGGGCTGGACAAAAAGTACACTGTCCACAAAAGCCATTTGAATTCTCTCTGAAAAACCTAGTAGCCAAGTCTGAAAGCAATTTGTGAACAGAGACAAACTGTTGCTGGTTGTCCATTCAGATTCCTCCTCAGTGCTAAGAGCCACATTCTAAAAGTGCAATGAAATGGCCTGTGGCTGGATCCAGCGTGACCTGCACTTGCAAGTTTCTGCTGTGTTGCAGAAGCGAACGACAACAGTTAAACTTTAAAGATCAACAGTTTTTCGATTGGGTTCCTGGAGAATAATGGCACTTTTGTACAATTCTTGAAATAGAGCCTGCAGCCGCCCCAAACAAAATAGTCTCTTTCAAGATCTTGGAAATAATGACCTCATAGGCAGATTGAACCAGCAGTCCATTAATAGTATCCTTTGTAGAAAGCTGTCTCAGGGGAGGGACGTGGCTTAGTAAATCAGCATTGTTTACAAACATAACAGAATAGAATCCCCCTTTTTTTCCTACGTTTGTGGAATAGTCGGAGACACCTCCCACTTGGGAAGCAAACACATTAACAGCAAGGCTTCCTTACAGGGCCCTACCCTTTCTCCATCGGTCACCGAAAAGTGTGCTTTGAAGCACTTGCTTTGAAGGTGAGTTAGAGATAACAAGAGTCTCCAGCCCTATTCCTTTGTCACCAGCTCAGAATTATCTGGAATCGTGAGAAGAAGATGAAGATTGGTCGTGCCTTGTAGTCATGAAGAACTGACGTAATAGCAGGATAATTTGAGCAAAAGCAAATCTGAAATGTCTAGGTAAACGGAGTGATTATTTGCTTCATGTTCCTATTGTGGAAGTAGATAAAGATTCTTCAATTTCATTAACATCTGTAAAAGAGGTTTATTCCAGCCCCTCTTATAATCCCCTGATACGTTGAATGGAATTAAACCAATTCCAGTTTGCTGGGCAGTAGAAAGGTGGGCCATCTAAGCTGGGTCCCTTGCAGAATGCCTGTGATACGGACCGCAGCAAGTGTGTGGTATTCAAATTCTGGGCAGGGATTTCTAGTCTACTATGGGAGAGTATAGTGTGAATTTTATATCCCAAGTAGCCCTTGTTTCCCGACATAAAAAGAAACAGGGCATCTACCTTTTGAGTCTCTACCCAGAGAGAATATTTAGGAAGAAAAAAGGCCACTGTTACCCACACCTGATTATCCAGAACAAAGGAGACTAGTATTTTGGATTACGGAGGTGCACTAGAACCCTGACTGGCTCAGACTCCTACTTGCCTTATTGTGTAAGGTCAACTTTGTATATCATGTTAAAGAGGGTATGTATGTTTCTCTGACTTCTGTCATCTCAAGTTAACTAACATGTCCTCAGAAAATAGGTATCATCCAGAATGTGGTGGCTTTCTCTTCCTGAGACACATTTTTCACTATTTTCTAGGTATTACCTAGAATCCTCAGTTCTTTTGCAATAACCTTCAGACTTCATTATTTTTACCAACCTAGATTCTGTATGTTGAGCTTTAGTTAATAATCACCACATATTCAGGCATTATTTTTGAACCCAGAAAAGTAAAACAGACAAAGCACACACAGAGAAAAAATTAGTGCTTTTGGGCTTCCCTGGTGGCGCAGTGGTTGAGAGTCCGCCTGCCGATGCAGGGGACACGGGTTCGTGCCCCGGTGCGGGAAGATCCCACATGCCAAGGAGCGGCTGGGCCCGTGAGCCATGGCCGCTGAGCCTGCGCGTCCGGAGCCTGTGCTCCGCACCGGGAGAGGCCACAACAGTGAGAGGCCCGCGTACCGCACACACACAAAAAATATATAGTGCTTTTATTCTGGTGGCAAATTCTTTGTAGTGACTAAATTAAAACCATGAACCCGTCTGATACAGAATACCACTGGTGAAGTCAGTCTTAAACTCACTTTTCTTCTGGAGAAAGAATGAATTTAGAAGGACCAAAATCAAAATGTGAAAGGGAATGTAGACCCATTAGCACTGATTTCATATATTTACCAGCAGTATCTATGAATATAATTGATCCTTGACAGCACGGCTAGGTTTTCATTTTACCTTGTGCTGTAGTTTCACCCGTATAGGAAAATATGAGACTTAATCAAGCTGGTGGTGACAACATTTACTACTGATAATTTCACTGTCATGATTCCTGAAAAGAAAATACAGATTGGGTCTTAATTAAGATAATGCAAGGCATGACACTTAGGCAAAGGAAAAGAGATCTCTTGTCCAAACCAAGGTCAAACCAATCATTGTTAGTTGGCAGTCACCTGTGCAGATGGGGAAACTTAATTGACACTCAGCTATTTTTGAATACGTACAGGCTCTATATATTTGAGAAAATTTAAAACAGTAAAAATTTCCACATAACATAATGTAACTTAGAATTCATTACTGAAAGTAATAAACACATTGTAACCACTGAAGGGCTGAAAAGAGTTAAGGTAGATTATTTCTCACTGTAGCAGGTAATGAGGAGACCCCTGTTTTTGTGGTTGCTGTACTTAGGTTGGTTAATAGTAAATGTTACTGGAATAAAGTGATATGCCAAGTTGTGTATGGAGAGCTCATACACTCCTAAATTAGTGCCAGTTAATACTTGATGGAATTACAGAGATTTTGTTGCAGTGGGATTTGATTTTCCTTGTATTCGAACTGGAGATTCACTTGGAAGGTACCCTTTTTCTTTTATATTGAAGTATAGTTGATTTGCACAATGTGTTCATCTCTGCTATACAGCAGAGTGATTCAGTGATACATATATATACGTTCTCTTTCATACTCTTTATCCATGATGGGTTATCACAGGCTATTGAATATAGTTCCCTGTGCTCTACAGTAGGACCTTGTTGTTTATCCACTCCATGTACAATAGTTGGCATCTGCTGATCCCCAACTCCCACTCCATCCCTCCCTCCCTTGCCCTGTCTCCCCTAGAAGGTACTCTTCATGCGTGACATGCATGGCAAGTGTCAGGGCCCTAATGCAAGGACTTGAATGAGAATGGGAAGACAGCTGGAAGCAGAAACATTTCCTTGTGGAGTCTGTGCTTTTCTAGTTCACTTAACCCTCCAGTGGCATGAAACCTGAATGTACTGAACCCTCAGCACAAGATACTAAAGAAGAATGAAATTAAGAGCAGATAAGTTGTTAAAACGAGACTGGTTCTTACCACCCTGTTACCCCTGTCAACTCCCTTGTTCCCTGTTCCAGGACATAAAATATGACAAGGAGGAAGGTTATGGTGTCTCCTCACGAAGCAGTCCTCTCCTTGGAACTCCTCTTTGCTCATGGTGGCACTGGGCTCTGCTTTATCTTCTGCCTGCTCCTTGCAGATGGGGCATTTCTTCCCCTAGCAGTCCACCCCAACTCTGCTGAAACTACCAGGTTTACTAGATTGTTTCTCAGTTCTTTCTCATAAAACAGTACGGTGTGTTTTGTTGATCAGGTGTACACAGGTAAGAATCAGGCGCCAAAGGCATCCCAGTGTCAAAGCAACTAACAGATGACTGCTGTGGGCCATTATGTATCAACAGCCAGGCCTGTGTCAATTCCAGACTCCAGGGAAGTTGTGCTACCTGACCACGATCATGAGGATAGAATTTTTAAAGAAGAAAGATTGGAAACTGTTCATTAAAAGACTGAGTGGACAGCAGAAAATAGAGTGTCACCGGGGGAAAAGGAAGGGACCTTAGGTGTTTGTGTCTACATATTGAAAAGCCATTCATTATTGCCTTCGCTTTCCTCTTTGGGAAATGGCATCGTTGGGTTTTAGGCAGGCAGCTCCCTTCCCTCTTGAAAAGAAACCCCTCAAAATGGTCAGTGCCAAACCTGAGATGACGTGAGATGAATGCTTTTGTTTCTAAGATGTTAGACTCCCCGGATTTACCACTTTGTCTTTTAGACCTCCCTTAACTCCTGTTTTCTCCTCCTCGTCTTTAGGAGCTGTGCAATCAGTTGTAACTGAAAATGTCTGACGGTCTGGATAATGAAGAGAAACCCCCAGCTCCCCCACTGAGGATGAATAGTAACAACCGGGATTCTTCGGCACTCAACCACAGCTCCAAACCACTTCCCATGGCCCCTGAAGAGAAGAATAAGAAAGCCAGGCTTCGCTCTATCTTCCCAGGAGGAGGGGATAAAAGTAAAGTATCAGTGACCGGGCATTGAAAAGGGGCTAGTTTATTCTTTCATTGTCACTTTCTTTCTCGAGTAGTCATTTCTTGAGCGTGGGCTGTTCAGGGCCTGCCTGACCTTTACATCTACACCTTCGGAGGTTGCATTTTGTCAGAGGATAATGTTTGATTGACTTACTGTGGGTTTACAGAAAATACACTTATGCTGTGTTTGCCTTTCACATAGCCTCGAATTCATAGTGGTAAGCCAAGGGAAATCATAGCAACAGTACTGTCTTAAATATATGAATAGTGACTTTCTTTCTGATAACTTACAGGAGAATTTATAGTAAATCCCTTCCTAACTGCAAGTTGCCCTTATTGGGAATTTGAGTATAGGTGGATTTACTTCTGTATACCTTTTTGACAGCCATGAAAATTTTGAATTGAGTATACGGAAGTCAGTCCAAGTGCCCCGTTATTGTCTCTCTGACTATAGCACAAGGTGGGAAGAAACTTCTGAGCTATTTGTTTCCTCTCCCATTCTTCTGACAGTCCTCCCCTACACAATCAGCCCTTTTTGCACCGAGTATCCCAACAATATACTATCATTTATCCTTGTGTTGTTCATAATACCATTTGGTCCTTAAATGTCATACTCTGACACTTTGTAACATTGGGAGATATAAAATCTCTAGTAAGTAATTGTCAGGTTGCATTAATTAGCATAAAGCTTAAACATGGCTTCTATAAACGTGACTATTGCGGCGGAAGAGAGTAAAGCCAAGTACAAGGACTCTGGCACCAGAGAGAGTTGCTAAAGGGTAAGAGGGGTGATGTCTCTTGAAGAGAAAAGGGACGCTCTTGATCTTCTCAAAGGTAAAACGATAGCTTTGTAGGTCGTTTATATGGTATTAAAGAATTCGTACCGTAAGGAAAGCTGAAACTCTCATTAGGGCCACTATCACCTCTTGTAGACCTGTGTCACTTAAGAGATGCTTTATCCCTCGTGACCCAAGGATGGAAAAGATGGAAATGACGTTCAACCTCTGGATTGAAGACAAGCAAAGGAATAAGAAAACACTCTCCATGCAAGGGACCTGCCATCATGCAAGAAGAATTTTCGAAGACATGTTTTCAGATACCGAAGTGGGTCCCAAGAAAAAGTATTGCCAGGAGCAAGGGTTGAGAAATGTATGGTGCACCATGACCCGGAGACCAAGTCACCTGATCCTGCAGCTCCCGTGTTGTATCTGCCACAACTGTAGAAAGCGACTGAAGGGGGGATTATGTGCCTGCACGAGTCTTTGGTGCTGTCGAGACCGCCATGCTTTGGAAGCCCTTGAACAGTCCCATCTGCCCTTTTGAAGAACACGAGCCAGCCGATTCTGACATGAGGTCAGCCAAAACAGAGAGGCTGGTGTTTCTGTTTTGTGCTAATACTTCAGATGACCTCATAGTGAAACCATTACCACTCTACAGAAAACTAGGCCCATGTCTTCTCAGAGGAGAATCCGAGCTAAGTTGCCAGTATACTGGCGTGCAAAGAGAAAAGCCTGGGTGACTCCCTCTCTCCTTAGGAATTGTTTGAACAGTGCTTTCTTGCGGAAGCTCAAGACTACTTACAAGAAAAAAAGTCTTGAATTCAAAGCCCTACTGATTCTTCACTGTCCTCTCGGTGCCGCAGATGCATTTGCCAATGTGCATCCTGATGTTAAGGTTGTCTTTAGAACCAGTTGCTTGTTTCAGGTCCTGGAGCCCTTAGATCGGTGTTTGATCCAGCCATTCAGGAAGACTTAGGCCAAACTAATGTATAACTTTGTGGTTCAGAATCTCACAAAGGTTCATCTGTCTGAAGATCCTAGTGCATGGGATTCCTACACCATCACCAATGCTGTATTCTTCATAAAATAGGCATTAGATAGTTTAACAGAGCCTGTCATTCATGTGATCTGGGAGAAGATGTGGCTAGAGATGGTGAAATATCTTTCAGTGATTTCTCCTGAAGACAAAAAGTCTTTGGATGAAACAGAACCTGTAGGTGAGGGTGAACATTTGGCACAGGAGCCGTCATTGGCCGAAGTTGAATCTGAACTGGTTGATGCTGGTTCACGTGATGTGCTGGGCTGGAGGATGACTCAGGAAGCTCCTGGGACTGCAGAGGTGATTATCATAAGTGATGATAAAGATAATTAGGAAGCTATGGCACTGCAGACAAATACAATTATAAGCAACAGGAGAAAAATTTTAAGAACAAGATGAAATCCTCCCCAAGAAAGTAATGGAAAAATGGGTACCTTTACATGTCAAATCTTACGTGTTCAAAGCTTGAGTGATTTGCGAGAATTCAGTAAAGAGGTGACATTACGCCTTGCAAAAGAAATCACATTGGACAGAAACCATCTTTGGCAGAACTTAAATCATCAGATGGTACCGTTTAATACCATTGCTGGACAGCTGATAAGCTGCCATCGTACAAAACTTGAACGATTTAATTGAACTCTGTAAAGAGGTGGAGTCTTTCTACAACACCATGTTCGGAAGAAAGCAACCTCAGAGGAGCCTAAATCATTGAGTCTTGCCATTTAAGTATCTGTGTCAGACAGCAGAGAAGCTGCCTTCAGACAAACTTAAATGGTTTAATTTGAGCTCTATACAGAAGTGCCAAGCTGTCTTCAGAAAAGACTTGAGAAGACAGCATCTTCAGAAGAGCCAAAGTCATTAAGTCATGCCACGTAACTTCACTTGCTTGGTAGGGCTAAAGCCCCAAGTTGTTATAATCTCAGGACTGGACTTTGATGAAGACTCTGAGAGCACGAAGATCCATGATTTGGACTAACAGTCCACCTCTGTTCATTGCTTCACTGTCACCCCCATTTTCCACTGCCATAATGAGTGATACATCCTCATCACCTCTGGAAACCGTCTCAAGATCTAAATGGAAACTCTACAGAGCCTATCACGTTTACTAATTTAAGCTATGTAAACTCTCGTTATTCTTTTTATGTAATGTACTGTTATTGTTTTACTGTGCAAAAAAATATTTATGAGGGCGTTCAAAAGTTTACGTGACCTCAGTTCCCCTGCCCTTTATTTCACCTCCTAAAATTATAACTTCCTCAGCTGAACTCTCCTACCTAGGTGGGGGGGCGTCGTTCAGGAACTTGATCTTCGTAGGTAAAGAAGGGTTACGATTTCTGTGTTTCTACCTCTTGGTGATTACTTGGATTATACCACAGTCAGTCTTGAATGAATGGAAAGAGCACTGGGCTTACTTGGGTTCTGGAAACCTGCTTTCAAGTCCAGCTCTGCCACTGATTATTGTGACTTTGTGCTTAATCACTTAGTTTTTTTGATCCTCAGTTTCATCACCTGTTAAATGAAAATAATAAGACCTGGCCTCCCTAGCAAAATATTTTTACTAATCAAATGTAATTCTAAATGTCAGAGTGCTATTAAAAGTGAAATTAAAAAGTGCTAAATAATTGTGAGGTGTTATTACATCTGTATCATTCTGGAACTTACAGACAAACAACTAAAAAACTAGGTTTTAGAATTCTTCTTTCTTTTTTTTAAGTAACTTTGTCCCTAACTAGAATTTATATGTCAGTTACAGGAAATTTTAAAAAGAAAGTTAAGGGCTTCCCTGGTGGCGCAGTGGTTGAGAGTCCGCCTGCCGATGCAGGGGACACGGGTTCGTGCCCCGGTCCGGGAAGATCCCACATGCCGCGGAGCGGCTGGGCCCGTGAGCCATGGCCGCTGGGCCTGCGCGTCCGGAGCCTGTGCTCCGCAACGGGAGAGGCCACGACAGTGAGAGGCCCGCGTACCACAAAAAAAAAAAAAAAAAAAAAAAAAGTTAAAATTACCCATAATTTCACAAGCCAAAGATAACTAACTGGGTTGGTGTTTTTCCGCCCAGTTCTTCTTCTCATCATAGAGAAATTGTTCATCAATGATAAAAACTTGGAAAATAAAGACAAGAGTATAGAAACTGTAAAAATCACCCATATTCACAAATCTCAGAAACAATGTTAATATTTTAGTGGCTTCATTTCCAGACTTTTTTTAATGGCTATATATACATATACTTTTTTATATAGTTAAAAATCATAACGTATACAGTTTTATATCCTGCTTTTTCACTCAACATTTTATCGTGAACACTTCCCTATATTTTAAAAAAGCTTTCATAAATATAAGTTTTGACGGTATATAACATTTCATCATATAGTAGCATCGTGGTTTACTTAACCATTTATTTTGTTCATTATTTGGGATCCTATCCAAATTTTTGTCATAAATAATGTCACATTGTCTATTTCCTTAGTTAAATGAAAATACTTGCTTTGGTGACAGCAGAGGTTTTTGTTTGTTTTAAGGGGTCTCTTTAATAGCTACATTTCATTGACCAAATGGAACTTCAAGAGACAGGTAGAAGAAAAACAAGTAGTAAAAGTAATTTCCAGGTGGAGGACCTGTCTTGGTTGGAGGCCTTTCCAGGAGCTGAATCTTGGTGTTAGAGCAAAGTAAGAGGGACAGTTTGCCACGAAATTATGATGCTTCACCTTACAAAAGTTTTCAGAATTTAGACCAGGAAAAGGACATCCTGAACAAGTGGTTTGATGTTCCTTTAAGGACCCTGTGAAGTGTGAGACTGATCAGGTTTCTCTTTTGTTGGCTACTAGAAAGCGTGGAGCCAGATGTATGGCCCCTGCCTAGCACTTGTAACGGGCCTCTATGGTATGTATGCACTTTGTATAGCTTTCTTCCAGGCTCCGTTTTATGTGCCTATCTTTGTTCTATTTTTTTTTCCTCTCACTATATCGACTTCGGATTTCTGCTGCTATCATACTGTATTTTGTGTATTCTTGTAAGCCGTCTTATATCTATTTTGGAACAAGGTGGGGAATGAATACATGGATGGGTAAATAAATACATGAAAAAATACATGAATAAATAAAACAATAAGGCAAAGGCAATGAGGCAAATGAATCAGCCAGGACTCTGAAAATGGCGTAGTACCTCTAAA